CTCTTCTGACACTTAGAAGGCTGCCAAGGGAAGAGTCAGCTAAAAGCAATTTACATTAATAGGAACCGCAAAAAAGATGAAAAAAAAAAACATCTATTTCCTGCCTTACGTACATACACTCAGTATGCAGTACTATGGAAACCTCTCTAATTAACTAAGGTATGAGTAGACAGAAAACACGTACTTGCAAGTCCGGTTAAAGACGAAGACTATCTAAGGGTCTTATGGCTGCAACCTTGCCAAGATCAGAGTTCATATACTTGTCATATGTCACCTTCAATCTTCCACTTCTTGCAGCCTTTTGGAAATTTAAAATCATTTCGGCGCACTCCCTGAAATCATTAAAAAAAAAAAACGGCGTAATTAACCTTGTGCATTTAGTAAGGCTAACAACAGAAATAAGTTCTTAAAAGAGATTTGCCTCATTTGCACCACATGATATCGTGCATGTTTTTCAAGCAGTGGAGTCCAAGCTGGAGTCATTTGAAGAGTGCACCTCGCAAGATAGAGAGCTGAGGCACATAACAATGAGGGCTTGAACTTTAAAGCTTCATATTCAACCAAGCACAGGTCAACTAGGTAGAACGCCAGATGTTCAAGCTGCTGGCAACATAACAATGTAACACCAGGTGTCATAAAAATTGAGTTGATGTTTGATGCGATCCAGATTGCTTATTAGGGCCAAATAATCTCGTTTCAATTTCAAGTACGAGAGCAAAATTTTCATGCTTGCCCCAACTATCAGGATTGCACAAACATAAATTGTCTAGTAGATAAAAACATTTTTTAGTTTTTATTTTCTAAATGTGTTTATGCATGCAACTATGTAAGAGATATGTACTTATGAAAACAATAAAAAACTAAATACAATAATTATTTATGAAATACTAAAAACAATATTTTAAAATTTTCTAATTTCATCATCACTTTCAGTAATATTTCTTAGAAAAACTATCAAATTAATACTAGAAATTTGATATTTTTACAATTTGGTCCACAATATCTTTTTTGTCATAATTTGGTTCGATTTTTCATTTATTTCAAACTGTTAGAATATTATAAAATAATTTTTTACAGAATAGTATGATCATCTTTCCAAATATATAAGTTTAATTAGGAAGAAAATTATTAAGGTAATTTATATTGATTACTATATATGAATTCGTCTACATGTATATATTCCTACTTCTATTTCAATAAAACATGAGAAAATATTCAGTAATTTTTTTCCTAATTCTTACATGGTATTAGAGATAAGGTTAGGATTATGGGTTTAAGAGTCAAATTTCATCAGATCAAAAAAATGATTGAACAACCTATTCCCGACACCGGAGAAAGGCAACCACCAATCTCCGGCCAGTTCAGAGTGCAGCCAGCATGGTGGTGTAAGCGGGAGAAGCCGAGGAAGCAGTTCACGTGGCGGTTTGAGACTGTGTGCAATGGGACTGCTGGAGGAGAGCATTCTTGTGCATGTTTGGTTCCTGTTCGATGATAGAAGCAACAGAGGGGCTTGATCAGCCAGTTCTGTACACGAAACCAGAAGGCCGAAGAGGAAAAAGGCACGGCAGAGCAGATCGCGCGACAGCAAGTGATTCTCTACTCTCCGGAGTGATTTCAACTATTTCTGCAAGCGTTATTCTGGATTAGGATTAGCATTGGAGTTTTGTGGTGATTTCCGACCAAAAGAAGGCTGTTTGGTAGTTTCAGACAGCAGCGCATGTAACTCCGGTGACGGCGCAGGTTCTCTCGTGGTTGACAGTGAGGTTCTGATAGGATTGTTAATACCCGTACGTGAAGAGATAATCTGTTTTATCAAATTTTCTAGTATATTTGTAATGTTTTTGGTGTGTCTCTAGCTACTGTATTTGAGTATTTTTGGGTAATAATTTGTGGATATTTTTGAGTTAAGAATTAGTGATAACCAATTTTTGGTGAGTGAAATAGTCTCAACCATGACAAATATCACTGAGTATAAATTAAATAATACAAATTATCTGAAATTGAGCAAAACTATTAGGGTTATCTATGCAGTATTGATAAAGATGATCACTTGACTCAAGACCTTCCTACTGATGGACCTAGACAAATATGGCTAAGAGATGATGCACGGTTGTTTCTGCAATTAAAAATTTGTTAAAAACTGATGAATTATTTACAGTTTCTGTATTTAGGCAAAAGAAATGTGTACTGCATGTATGATGTTTATAAAACATTCTATCGTGCTGAGAAGGAGGTCAAATCTCTAACAGTCTATTTTATGGAATTTAAAAATACATATGAGGAGGTTAATGTGCTTTTACTGTTCAGTGCTAACATAAAGGTATAACAAACATAGAGAGAGCAGATAGTCGTAAAAAGTTTCTTGGCTGATCTTCCATCTGAATTTGAGACTGTTAAATCTCAAATCCTATTTGGTTCCGAGATTACATCCCTTCAGGAAGTTTTTACTAGAGTGTTACGTACAGAGACTACTACACCCAATCAACATACTAATGTTCTTATTACTAGAGGATGAAGAAATAATAACAGGGGAGGAAACAGAGTAACGAATAATCGGTATAATGATTCAAGTAATATTGTTTGTTATTACTGTCATGAACAAATGCATACGAAGCAGCGATGCAAGAAATTACAGAATCAGGATCAGATAACACAAGTTGCGAATATTGCTACTGCTAGCTCATCTTTTGAGAAAATTATTATGGTTTCAGCCAACAAGTATGCAAGATTTTCTCAGCTTCAAGAATCTTTGAAAGATCGCACACCAACCACTACGTCTGTTGAATAAGGTAAAACATGTATTATCTCTCTTCATCAAACAAATAGGTAATCGATTCTGGTGCTACAAATCATATAACAGGTAATTCTAATATCTTCTCTAACTTTCGGTCACACAGAGTACCCTCTCCTGTAACTATTGCTTATGAGTCAACCTATAGTATTGAGGGTTCTGGAACTATAAAACCAATTCACACCATTAGCTTGACCTCTGTTTTAAATCTACCCAAGCTTGCTTTCAATTTGATTTTCGTAAGTAAACTTACCAAAGATTTTAATTGTTGTATCTCATTCTTTTCTTATCGTTAGCTTTTTTAGTATCTTATAATGAAGCAGATTATTGGTAAAGAATATGTATCGGAAGGTCTCTACAGTCTTAATAATTGGATGCCTCGATCAGTTGTCTGCTATAATACTGTCTCTCTATTTGAAGCACATTATCAGTTGGGACATCCATCTCTCACTGTGTTGAAGAAGTTGTGTCCTCAGTTTTATGATATATTTTCATTGGATTGTGAATAATATCAGTTTGCAAAACATCATCATAACTCGTCAAGTCCAAAAATTAATAAACGAACTGAATCTACTTTTAAATTAATTAATTCTAATATTTGGTATCCATGTCCCGTTATGTATAAAACAGGATTTAAGTATTTTATTACTTTTCTTGATAACTTTTCTCAAATGACTTAAATATATTTTATGAAAAATTGTTCTGAAGTGCTTGCTCATTTGTGTGCTTTTCATACGAAAATCAAAACTTAATTTAATGTTTCTGTGCATGTGCTAAGAAGTGATAATGAGTAAACAATATATGCAAGACTTATTTCAGGATTATATGATTTAGCATAGGATTCTTCGTCAGTTTTATTGTATTGATACACCATCTTAAAATAGGATTATCGAGAAAAAGAACAAACACATACTTAAGACTTCTCGAGCCCTCTTGTTTTAAACACAAGTTCCTAAACAATTTTGGACTAATGTTGTATCCACTGCTTGTTTCCTGATTAATCATCTACTATCTGCAGTACTCGAATGTAATATTCCTTACAGTATTCGTTTTTCAAGTAAGTTATTGTTTCCGGTACAGCTGCGGATATTTGGTAGTACTTGTTATGTTCGAGATGTACGACCCAATATTATTAAGTTGGGTCCCAAAGTATTGAAGTGTGTCTTTTTGGAATATTCTCACATGCGAAAGAGATATTGGTGTTACTCTTCAGATCTTAATAAATATCTAGTGTCAACCAATGTAGTCTTTTTAGAGAGTATATCGTTTTTCTCCTCACAGTCCAGTTCTACAAATCAGATAAAAAACGATGAGTGACTCATTTATAGATTCCAGAACAGTACCTCTACGGAGCAACCAGATAATGGTATTTTTTCTAATGCACGTTCTGAGCAAACTGATAATGGTGTGCCTCAAACTTAAGAACAACCGTCCATTATTCATGTTTATTTCAGAAGACAACAGACTAATGATACATGTGCTACACCAGCTTTTTCGTCATTTGATCCTTCCACCCATGATCTTGATCTTCCCATCAGTTTTCGTAAAAGTACACGTCAATGCACCATTCCTCATTCTACTTATCCTATTGCTAACTTCATTTCATATGATCATTTGTTTTCTTCGTCTAACTATTTAATTGCTTCTATAAATTCTACTTTCATACCCAACACAATTAAGGATGCTCTGAATTACCCTAATTGGCGTAATGTCATGTTTGATGAGATAAATGATCTTGATGATAATCATATCTGGGATTTGGTAGATTTACCCAAAGAAAAAAAAACTTATGGGGTGCAAATGAGTATTTGCAGTCAACGTGAATCCATATGGTTCTGTGGCGAGACTTAAAACTCGATTAGTAGCAAAAGGTTATGTTCAGACTTATGGGGTGGACTATTCTGATATATTCTCTCCAATGGCAAAACTTACCTTTATTCGTTTATTCATATTTGTGGCCTCCAAAGACTGGCTCGTGCACCAGCTAGACATTAAAAATGCAGTGTATACAGAGATCTCTTAGAAAAAGTGTATATGAAGCAACCACCTGGATTTGTTGTTTAGGAGAAGTACGAGAAAATTTGTCATTTGAAGAAATCTTTATATGGTCTGAAATAGAGTCCCGGCACATGATTTAATAAGTTTAGTGAGGTAGTTTGTGAATTCGAATTGAGAAAGAACAAGTGTAATCATTCAGTTTTCTATAGACAATCAACAATAGATATTATACTTTTTATTGTTTATATTGATGATATTGTAATTACAGGAGATGACCATACAGGAATATCTTCTCTCAAGTCATTCCTGTATGCCAAGTTAAATACCAAAGACTTGAGACAACTAAACTATTTATTGGGAGTTGAAGTGACAAAAAACAGGGAAAGGATTTTGTTATCTCAAAGGAAATATGTACTTGATCTACTTGCAAAAACAGAAAGCTGGGAGCTAAGCCATGCAATACACCTATGGTACCAAATGTACATCTTACAAAAAATGATGGTGATCCCCTTGATGATCTAGAAAAATACAGACGATTTGTTGGGAAATTGAATTATCTCACTGTAACTCGTCCAGATATTGCATATCCTGTCAGTATTGCAAGTCAATTTATATCTGCACCTATAGTTAAACATTGGGAGGTTTTGTAACAAATTCTGTACTACTTAAAAGGTGTCCCCGAACTCGGCATAATATTTATAAATCACGGACATACTCACATTGAACGTTTTACAGATGCTGATTAGACTGAATTGAAGATTGATAGGAGGTCTACTATAGGCTATTGTGTTTTTGTTATTAGGAATCTCATATCATGGAAAAGTAACAAGCAAACAGTTGTATCTCGTTCAAGCACAGAGTCTGAATATCGAGTTATGGTCTGGCCCGCGTGTGAAGTTTTATGGATATATCATCTTTTAAAATAAGTAGGTTTGAATCTCACATCTCCTGCAAAATTTTAGTGCAATAATCAAGTTGTCCTTCATATTGTCTTAAATCCTGTGCATCATGAGAGAACCAAATATATTGAGATTGATTGTCACTTCATCTGAGAAAAAATTCTAGAAAACTTTATATCTACTAGTTATATAAAGACAGGAGAACAACTTGGTGATATATTCACAAAACCTCTGAATGGAACACAAATTCAGTATTTTTAAACAAACTGAGCATGATTAATATCTATACTTCAGCTTGAAAAAGAGTGTTAGAATATTATAAAATATTTTCTATACATAATAGTATGATTATCTTTTCAAACATATAAGCTTAATTAGGAAGAAAATTATTAGGCTAATTTATGTTGATTACCATATATGAATCCGTTTATATGTATATATCCCTACTTCTATTTCAATAAAACATAAAAAAATATTTAGTATTCCTTTCCTTAATTCTTACACAAACACTCAATTTTTTTCTATTTACTAATGGGAAAGGGCAAAATAATTAGATTATATTTGAATACTTTAAAAAGATAACTTATAAAAAGACTTTGATTAATTAATTGAATTAATAAATTAATGATAATATTAGGTCTATTTTTTATTATTATTAATTTAATTAATTAGTTAAATTTATTTTTTAAAATTATTTTTAAAAATCCAAATATAATCTAATAATTTGTTTTTTCCATTAGTAAATAGAAGAAAATTGGACTTTTGGAACAAAAAGGAAACAATAAAGACTAAATTATAATGAAAAAGACATTACAAATTAAATTGTAATAAGTACTAAAGTTTAAGCTAATTTGCCCTTATCCTTTTCATTGTTAAATAACTTGTATGATCTTTGAAAGAAATATATATAAATTTAGAAAATGGTTTTTATGTATTGAAAGAAGCGAAAAAATATAAGATTGTAGATATTATCAAAAGGCTAATACCTTTTTGTTTGACTGAGCAGCCTTGAGAAATCTTAACATGAAGACATATGGAGTGGGTGTATTCAGACGAAATTTAAGCTTCTTAAGAATAAGCTTCTCCTGAAAAAAAAAATCAGCATAACTGACTCAGATCAAGAAAGGAGAAATACATACGAATGCCATTCATTTTTTCGCTTATATGCAGCATTTAAACGGTCAAGTAAGCATAATGGGGAGAAGAAAAAAGAAATGCATAAAGCAGATCTATCCTGGACAGGTATTCCCACAACCTGCCACAAGAGCATCCTTAACAAACAAATTGTTATGCAATTAACTGATTATGCTTCCCAAAACAAACCCATCTTATTTTTAATTGTTTGATGTTATGGAGACATTTACCATTCTGAGCATTTGGTCTCTTGTATATGACTCAGCTGAGATGCTAATTAAATCTTTGACCTGCAATGGACAGAGCAGAAGTGGGAAATACATAATACAAATTTAATTTGAGTTTTACACTTTCCAGAAGCCAAGTTTGCAAATTAACACCTACCCTAGGGTGCCAAAAATCCTCATATTTTGATGCCAGCAAGAGCGCAGTAAGACCAACCAACTGCATTTCATTCTTCTTAATTTGGACTTGAGAGAGATAACGGTCCAGCAATGTGACAGTCAGATAAAGAGTCTCTTGCATTAAATCAAATTTGAAGTGTACCTGTGACAAGGAAGCGAAAAAAGCTCGCAGTAATTCAACATGATACACTGTAAGTTGCAACAGATAAAAGAAATTAACACTGATAAAGAAAGAAAAGGCATGATTGTACATTGAAGGAAATAGAAACTTACTTCAATCAGCCAATTGATTAATATGCTACGAATAGAGGGGGTAAGTTCTGTCTGAATTGACATGTAATTTGTGCATGGTGGATTCTGTGCCTACAGTAAAAATCACTTAAAACCATTAGCCAAACCATCAGCTTGGTTGTTATGGAAGTACTTGAAAGGAATGGTGCGAAATGTTGAGTAAGCACACAAGTATTAAAAAGAAAACACTTTAACTTCTAGTTGGTAAACATCTGAAGGCATTACTTCTGAACAAAGGAGCAAGTATAGTTGGCACA